CATGGAGCTCTCCTAGAATAGAATCAAGAATTACTTCTTCAAATTAAGATGGGAAATGTGTTAGTAAATCTGAAAGAGTTTGAGACTTGATTGCTTTAGGTTGCACAATCAAAATGTCAAACTGTCTAAGTAAGAGAAGCCACTTTGCTATCTTTCTAGATAAAGCTGGTCGAGAAAGCAAGAATTTGATTGGATTTAACTTGGTCACCACTTTAAGTTTGTGAGCCAAGAAGTAATGACGAAGTTTCTGAGTTGCGTATACTAGTGAAAGACAATATTTCTCCATTGGTGAGTAGTTCAATTCACTCCCATGTAAACATCTACTCAGGTAATATACAGGTCATTCTTGCCCTTCCACCTCTTAAACAAGTAGAGCACTAATTGAATGTGGAGTGGAGATGAGGTATAGCATCATTGGTTCCCCTTGGATTGGCATAGTCATTGTCTTTGGAGAAGTAAGAATACCTTTGATATGTTCAAAAGCTTGCTGTTGTTGTTCATTCCATGAAAATGGCACCCCTTTCTTAAGAAGAGCTTGGAAAGGCATAATGATATCTCCTAAGGCTGGAATGAACCTCCGAATGTAAGAAACCCTTCCCAACATGCTTTTGAGTTGCTTCTGGTTTGATGGGGGTGACATAGACTGAATAGCTTTTATCTTTGCGAGGTCCACATCTATGCCTTTTCGATGCACAACAAAACCTAAAAACTTACCAATTGTTACTTCAAAGGCACACTTTAAGGGATTCATGCGTAACTTGTATTTTCGACATCACTCAAACACTCTTCTCAAGTCTCCAAGATGATCTGGGGCTTTTTTGGACTTCACTACTATGTCATCCACGTAATCCTCCAAGCAGTCATGCATCATGTCATGAAAAATTACTGTCTTCCCATCTTCATGAGCATAAGAGCTTATCCCAGTGGAGTTTTCTCTCTTTCTTTCAAAGCGTTTTTTTTTCCTCCTTGCTTTTTTTTCTTCAAAATGTTTTCTTCCCCTTTTTGGAAGTATTTTTCCCATCGTGGAAGTGGAACACTAATAGGCCTAGCTATGATAGTTTCACCTTCCTCTGCTAGTTCCTTAAAGAAAGAAGTTTCTGTGTAACTTACCTCATGGCATTCAAATGGTGCCTTGGTTGCTGGGATGAAAATTTCTTTCCCTTTCCAATAACCTTTGATACATTGGTGGAGCGTTGAAGGAATGATATTGTGAGTGTGAAGAAACTTTCTTCCTGTGAGGAGGTGATAAGTCACATCAGCTTCAATAACATGGAAGCAAGTTTGGTCTTGAATAAGTCCCATCTTGAAACTCACCATGACTTGTCCTAGAGTTTTAATTTCTTTGTTGTCAAAAGAAATGATAGTCATAGGATGGCGTAAACTCCTTAAGTCTATATTTATAGCTTTAAGAGTAGATAATGGCATGAGGTTTATCGAGGAACCATCATCAATGAATGTCCTTCGCACTAGGTATCCATTGACATTGCTCTCCACATAGAGTGGCTTATTGTGATAGGGATGTGGTGTGCACATATCTGCTTCTGTGAATACTATGGCATTCTCATATCCACTTGTCATCTTCTTCATAGGTTGTCCCACCAAGCTATATTCCCCATTCTGTAAACCTGCTATCTGTACTAACATTATGGCTGCCTTCTTTTTCGATTCACTTGAAAAGCCAAGTTGATTAAAGAAGTGTCTGCAGCTAGGTGTCTTCATGAGTGAGTTGGCAATGGACAAGGTAACCATATCAGCTGCACATGTATCCTCTTCTAGATTAGAAGGTCAGGAAGGTTCTTCCTGAATACCAATCACTGCACTTTCATGTCCTCTAGCATCTTGATGAGTAGGGAGTGGATTATTTCGAATTCTATTATTTCTAATCAAGACTTCTCCTGTTTGTGTTCTTCTGTGAAATATCTTATGCATGTTTTTGCATTCTGCAAATGGATGGCCCACCATGCAATGGTAATCGCAATAACGTGGATTGGACTTCTCTTCTGCCGTCGGAGGTCTTAATACATAAGGCAAATTTATTTTCCCGTCTCTAATCCATTCTTGAATAAGTTCCCTTACTCTATCAAAAAAAGCTAAAAATGGAAGAGGTGCAGCAATCTCTTCATCTTGTCCTCTCTTAAAGTTTTCACGCCTTGGCCTCAGATTTTCCCGAGGTCCTCTTCTTTCCCTACTTCCTCTTTGGATTGCATTCATAGTTAAAGTGCTTCTCTTGTTGAAACGATTAGCTCCTTTTTGCCTAAGGACCGTATTATTGGTCTGTCATGCAGCTTCAACTAAAATGGCAAAAGTGGGAAAAGGTAAGTTTTTCAAATGCACCCTATATTCATCATACCTTGGATGCATACTTTGACTAGTTCTTTCTCATCATGAGAATCTTGTATATCCAGTACATGTTTCATAAATCGCTGGATGTATTCCATAAGATCCTCTCTTGCCTTTTGATCTTCTCTCCCCAAGTCAATAAAGGTTACCTTTTCTTGAGTAGAAAAGAATTTTTCTCCAAACATTCACACATTTGGTTCCAAGAGTCAACTGAGCCGGGAATGAGATTAACATACCAGGTGTAGGTTTTCTC